GGGGGGGGGGGTAGGGAGGATTGACAGTGGGAAAGAGGGAGAGACAACCAATCTCTTTAATGCACAGGTCTTCAGAGCAACTGGATCTAAACTCAAGGAGCTGTGCCCAAGCAACCAGATATGAGGAGCCCCAGGCACATCTAGATCTGATTTAGATGAAGAACTCCTGGATTTTGAGCTGATGCTGCAGTAGAACGACATTTTGTAGGACCTTGGAAGGGTGTGTATACATTTTGCAAGTGAGAGGGATGTAAATAGCCTGCATCCAGAAAGCAGACTGAAGATCTGGCACAAACTGAAGATCACTACAAATTCCTTATACTTTTCCTATTGACAGGTAGAGTCTACATCCCCCACCCTTGAATTTTGAGACTGCTTTGAGCATCAGAGTATTGCAGAAGAGATGCAATGTGACTTCCAAGGCCAATTATTGTTCCTGTCAATAACAGAATGCTCGTAAAACATGAGTCGATTGAGCGGATAAGAAAAGGACCTACCCTCTGTAGAAGTCAGGGAAAACAGTTACTTTAAATATTAATGATTGTATTCAGTCACATAACCATTTATTGGAGGTTTAATATGTGTTAGGAGGTATACATGTTTTATAATTGTATTTTATTATGTTCATATAAAATAAATACTATTATCTACACTTTATACATAACAAAAGAGAGATTAAGTAATGTGAACATAATCATACTGTTAGTAAGTGGCTTAATGGGTATCCAAACCAGGGTGCATCTAATACCAGTAGTCTCCTTCCTTCCTTTCTTCCTTCCTTCTTCCTCTCACTTATTTTTAGCTTCCTTTTAAGTTAGTCATATAAATGGTCAAAAAAACCCACAAACTGTGCAAAAGAGTGTATAGGGAAAAGTACATTTCCTTCTCACCTCTGATCCTAGTCTCCCACTCCCCTCCTCAAAGAAAAGCACTGCTCCTAGTTTCCTGTGCATTGTTCTAAATACATCCTTGGCACATACAAATATATGAGTGCCCTTTTTACACAAACAGTAGTGTTTTAAACATAATTATTCAACTTTTTTCATGTAATCATTTGTCTCCAAAATCTTTAAACTATATACTGCATTGACACACACACGCGCACGCGTAAAAACTGAGAAATCTCAAAGTAATATGAAGCAGTCTATTTGATAAGCAAAACGTTCATATGGTCAGCCCGCCCGGGTGTGGCTCATCGGTTGAGCATCAACCTAGGATCCAAGAGATCGGGGTTCGATTCCCGGTCAGGACACATGCCCGGGTTGCGGGCTAGGCAGCCGATCAGTGACTCTCTCGTCATTGATGTTTCTATCTCTCTCTCTCTCCCCCCCTCCTTTCCCCTCTCTGAAACCAATAAAGATATGTTTAAAAAAAAAAAATTCATATGGTCAAAACAAATCAAATATTTTATTCCTCCACTGTCTTTCAATTAAATGTCTTAAATACCAGTTTATCTCTGTCACAGTTTAGAGGTATCGAGTATTATGTTCATTAGGCATATGAAAAAAAAAGTGATGTAACTTAAGTAGTAATATTAAAGATCTATTCAAAATATAGACACCTATAGAATCTTGAACAAAGGATAAATGGCAGAGGTTTAGGTCTGACACTATTTACTGATTTTAAATAACCACTAGAGAAAAAAATATGAGAAATATACAAAGAAAATATATGGACATTTTCCACAGAGTTATGAAATATTTCTTCTTAAACATTCTGAACCTATAGCTAATTACCACATAGAAAAAAATTATCTTAGCTATCCCTTATACTGAGGTTGCGTCCATCTATTATTGATGCAAAATAAAATTTGAGCAGAAGTTTTCTGAAGAGGTAGCAGAAAAGTTTTATTAGTATAAAAGAAAATATAAATTTTACAAAAGATAAAAGATTTTGCAGTACAAAAGATTAATTCAGTACTTCAAGAATCACTCTCCTGCAATAGGCATTTATGTTCAAAAAGATGAGAAAATTATCAAACTGCATCTTTCAGGATAAATCTCTCCAATAAATGTCATACAGAATAAAACTATCAATTAATAAAACCTATCTTTCCTTTAGTAATAAGAGAAAAATGACCCAAATGTTTGGTTATAAATTTTTTATCATACCTGGGTAGATTATACATCAAAATGACACCCTAAATAATATATATACATGAATAATTCACATTTGTCTTCATTTGAATTTCCCCCAGAAGCATACTTTGTGACAAAGATTCTAGTACAAGTAGTTGATTTGGGAGGAGATCTCAGGAAACACTGTGGTGGGTGGAGTGGGAAGTCAGTGAAGGGGGTTTCAACATGGCAGTTAACACTGTAAGCAACCAGACTTGATACCCAAGGAGGACTCTGACAGTTGGTAGAGGATATGCCCGAGCATGGAATGAGGGAGCTGGGTATTTATCCACCGTCATCAGTGAAGGGCTGCTCCTCAAAGGCGTTGATTCATGGACACTTCTGACAAGCAGCGGCGCTCAGACCAGAGAAAGCCCTCAGATAGATCTTTCCACCACAGGGGTAGAACCTGAAGGGATATGGACAGTCTCTGCTATAATATAATATTTTAGACCATTATCTGTTAACATTATCTGTAAAGGTTCAGAGAGTAAATACTTTAGGCTTTGTGGGCCATTACAATCTCCGTTGCAGCTGCTCAACTGTGCAGTCGTAGCACAAAAGCAGCCATAGATAATACATAAAAAAATGAACATGGCTCAACAAGGACAGTCAAAAGACAAGGTCTCTGATAGCAAGTACACTGACCTGGTTCCCAAGGAAGTCACAAATGCAGGTGACCCAGACTTGCAAAGATGTGATGAAGAAGCTATTAAAGAGATAAAAGAAAAGACAAGAGTGGCCTTAGAAAAATCCATATCACAGAAGGTAGCTGTGGCCATGCCAGTTAGAGCAGCTGATAAACTGGCTTCTGCTCAGTTTATCCAATACACACCATCTCAACAAGGAGTGGCTTTCAACTCTGGAGCAAAACAGAGGGTTATTCCAACGGTGGAAATGCAGAAAGATCCAATGGCGCCTCCAAGGTTCAATATTGATAAGTCCCCAGGAACCACCTTTCCTCCCGCATCAGTCACCTGGCTAGGAATGAACAACAAAAGTGGAAGATTCCTCCTAGCACTTCAAACTGGAAAAATGCAAAGGGGTATACAATTCCATTAGACAACGTCTGGCTGCTGATGGAAGAGGGCTGCAGACAGGTCAGGCTGATGAAAATTTTGCTAAACTGGCTAAAGCCTTCCGATCAGCAACATAGAGGGCCTTTGGTTTGGACAAGTTTTGGAAGAAACCAAACAGCATGGTGGCTCTAAAAGACCCTTAGATAGAAGCCACTCCAAAAAATATGAGCATGAAGGCAAGAAGAGGCAGGAGTAGATACACCTCTTTTCAAAGTGAAAGGTCTATTATCCATAACCCTAGTGATGCAAGTCATATGGGGGAACACTCTGTAAATAGGCCAGGATAAAAACTAAGTCTGGGTCTCAGCAGTACTTTCTATTATGGGAGAAAGGGGGGATAAGAAATTCTACTTTGAACTATTTAGTTTTTTTTAAAGTGGATTGTGTTTGTGCTTCTCCCACCTTTTGGCATTTATAGAACATACTGCCCCAAACATGAAATTAAAACCACTTCCTTTTGTTTGGTGTTAGTACTTTGAGGTTCATATTTTGTGTAAGAATGACTGCTTAGTCTGGTTAGGGCACATACCCAGGTTATGGGTTTGATCCCTGGTCAGGGAGTATGCAGGAGGCAACAGATCAATGTCTCTCTCTCACATTGATGTTTCTCTCTCTCTCTCAAATCAATTTAACAAATAATAATAGCCCAACTGGTGTTGCTCAGTGGTTGAGTGCCAACCTATGAGCCAGGAGGTCACAGTTTGATACCTGGTCAGGGCACTTGCCCAGGTTGTGGGCTTACTCCCCAGTAGGGGGCATGCAGGAGGCAGCTGATCAATGATTCTCATCATTGATGTTTATATCTCTTTCCCCCCTCTCTTCCTCTCTCTGAAAGCAATGAAAATAATAATAATAATTAATAATAATAATAATAATAATAATAATAATAATAATGACTGCTTATGTGTCAAGTTACCCAAACCACAGTGAGAAGGATGTTCACATATTGGAATTGTCCTGCCAAATGATGTTTGCCCCCGTTGTGCTCGTTTTAATTTGGAGTAGGGAAAATAAGTGCTTGCCTGATGCACCTATTTGTTTCAAATAAAATAAACAAATAAGCAGTTGCACTCATTCTGTTAAAAGAAACTTGGCTTTCTCCCAAAACATTAGTATGTATTTCCTTAACCTGTTAGACATTTCTTAAGCAGGAAAACTGAGACATTTTCTAATATGAACGGTGGTTGTGGGGAATAAATGAGATTATCTACTAAAAGAAAACATCTAGCACAATGCTGAGTACAATGCAGACAATTAGCAATGTTATTTCCAGCTCCCTTCCCCTTCTCCTTCTTGGTTTTTGAAAGTAATTTTTTTATTAAGCACACACATACACATGCACACACACAATCCTAGCTCAATCTTTTAAAGAAATGTGAAAAAATAAAATTAAATTTTATTTCCCATAGACAAGTCTAACCTCTTTTTGCAAAAGAATCTTATTTTATATTAAGAAAAAGGTGGCAGTTTTGTTTGTGTGAGGCTCTCAAAAATAAATCAAGTACAAATATAAAAAACTCACTCAAAATTGAAACTCTGTCATATAACTATAGGTAACCTACTGTACAGAAACATATCTTTGTTTTATGTGCAGAAGTTCTTTACACTAACATTTGAGATACTTTTACTTACTTAGTTAATGGTATTTATTAGAAAGTGTAAAATAGTGTTTCTTGAAAAAGTCTCCAGAGGGAATCTGAAAAGTTAATGCTTGACCAGCAGATGGCACTAACCTCTCAAAAATCTTTGTGCCAGGCAAAGAAAACAGCATTCAAAAGTTAAATTGGGTTAATCTCTCCCCACCCACCTCATGGATACAGACCACAGTGTGGTGAAGGCCTGGGTCAGGGGATGGGGGGTGCAGGGTAGAAGGGGTCAATGGGGGAAAAAGGGGACATCTATAATACTTTCAACAACACAGATAATTTTTTTTTTTTAAGTTAACTTACAGCTGGAAGTTAGTTAATTGCTTACTGATATTTGTGCTTATATGTACACCCATCTTGAAGATTCACAGGAAATTATTTCCTACAGGTCAAGACTCCTTTATGTGATCCTACTAGACTCTTGCTTTGCTGTTCATATTTTAATCTATACAGTAGAAAAAACATTTCTCACTGTACGACCTTTATCACATAAGCTCAGTAAAGAATTTGTTAATGTTAGGCCATGAGTAAAGAAAAAATACTAAAGTTACGCCCACCTCTCAAATTTTAGTTATTTTAAATCCAAAGTAACACTGTAGAAACTGATTTAAACCAGCTTTTTCAGGACCATTAAGATTTGTAGCAGGGCCCAGCCACGCATGGCTCAGCAGTTGAGCATCAACCTAGGATCCAGATCACAGTTCCATTTCCGGCAGGGCACATGCTGGGGTTGAGGGCTCAATCCCAAGCCAGGGGTGTGCAGGAGGCAGCCAATCAATGATGGCTCTCTCATCACTGATGTTCCTCTCTCTCTCTCTCTCCTTTTTTCTCTCTGAAATCAATAAAGATATACTTTAAAAAAAAAAAGACTTGTGGTAGGAAGTGGAAATACTTTAGATGTATTAATGAGACATGGAAATGCCATTCTTGAGGACTGCATATCTGCTTCTTCCCAAAGGAGTTAAGGTATAGCACAATGTACATAATATGTTAAATTTGATGTGAACAAAACAGAGGAATAAAATAAAAATCAATACTCATATTGCTTATATGTGCATAAGGAAATTTGAAAGTGTACATAAGAAAACATTAACAGTGGTTACTTGGTGGGAGAAAGGTAAGTACTGAGGAACCAGGAGGCTAAGAAGACTTTATAATCCATGTTTTTTGTTTGTTTGTTTTTTTAAATATATCTTTATTGATTTCAGAGAGAGGAAAGGAGAGGAATAGAGATAGAAACATCAATGATGAGAGAGTCATTAATTGGCTACCTCTTGCACGCCCCCGACTGGGGATCTAGCCCGCAACACGAGCATGTGCCCTGGCCCGGAATCGAACCCTGATCGCCTGGATCCTAGGTCGATGCTCAACCGCTGAGCCACGCCCGGCTGGGCTATAATCCATGTTTTTATACTTCTGTTAAAATATGTATCTCTATTGTCATTAGATATTTTTGTTTTTCAAAGTCATTCCTTAACCGAGTGACTCCATCCCTTTCCTCCCTAAAGGGTCCAGCAAGCTGGTTCCTCACGCCTCCTACTAGTCCCCAGAATCTCTCATTCCATTCTCCTCATAAATACCCCAAAACTTTGCCCTATGCTAAATTCTACCTCCAAACCTACTTCCCAACTCTTTAGGGAAGTAACCAAAACAAGGGCCTTTCACGGAAGGAAATTCTCCCTTATTGGGGGAGGTTGGAGAGGGTCTGACAACTACACTTAAGTAGTTTATTAAAGTATTTTTTCTGAATACCTACATTCTCAGCCTAAGAGAAACTCCAAGAGCGGTTTCCTCCACCTCATGAAGTACTCATTTACCCACTAGTGGTGCCCCTCCTTCCACACAACACAGCATTATCCACCCTGTGACCATCCCCGGCTCTTCATTTTGGGGAGTCCTGATATGCATGGGTCACCATCCCTTTTATCTAACACTGAACTAAGCTACATCTACATCTCTCTCTAAATAGGCCAAAGGCTCTGCGCAAATTGGAGAAACACTGAAGAGCTAGTTAAAACTCAGGGCTTTGGCTCAAGCTCAAGATGAGAGGGATAAACAAACCCTGCCCAAATGGAATCTAGTTCTCATATATTTTCCTGCCTTTCTAACTAAAGCCAAATGTTTGAATATTTCCCAAATTACCTCTCATGAAATTTATTGCATTGTTTTTCCTTTCAAAAGCAGATGAACTTATATTGACATTGTTAATAGGTTTATCTCAATGCATACTACTTTTTCAGTTTGTCATAGGGTATCATGAATCTCCACTGTGGCTGGCCTGGTGGAGATTCTATTCTTTGATAGACTGACTGACACATCTGCTCCCTGGGCCACATGTGTACAAAAAAAAATTATGGGAGCCCCCAACTGATCAGAGTACTATCTCACACAACTTTTTGCCATTATTTTTATTCCTGCCATGGATATAGGGAAGCCAGGAAAAAAGAATCCGTGAGATTAGCGAATAGTTAACATCAACAGTGGGAAAAGTGAAGTCTCTGACTTGACATATTTCAAAATAGTACTAACAATGCTGAATACTTCAGTGGTGAATTTCAGAATTCACTGCAGGTGTTCTCCCATTTTATTTCCACAATTTGAGACAGACATAATTATTTCCATTCTATAAGTCAGGAAATGAAGATTCAGAGATGATAACCAAATTTCCTCAGATCACACAGCTAAGAAGAAACCAGCCTGTGAGGTGCCTGGATTAGGCTTCTCTTCAACGATCTCAGAGCAAATTTCTGTGATTATTAAGTTTAACAACTCTATCAGCAATGGGTATTTCCAAGTTCAAATGAGTTTAAAACTTGATGAGGCTATCTAATGCCTCAAGAACAGTATCTACAGAGGTAGGGAATTCCAGAAAATAAGAGCTAAAAAGGTTAATTTATTCTGACAGAAGGATGATTAATACAAGGTAAGATTACCTGTCTCTAATTAACCTAGTCCATTATTGAGTTCTTACCAAGAATATGGATAGCAGAAAAGTGACTAAGAAAGAATTCAGCTAAGGAAGTTTAAAGAGAGTATCATTCTGGGAATAATAATCATTATATTTGTTAGCCATTGGGAATCCTTAAAATTATCTTAATATTTAAGCCAGAATTTAAAATACTTCTTTATTCAAACTTCTTTTAAGGGGACTATGAGGCTGAAGATTAACAAATACACTTAAATATCTACTAAAATTTTTAATTGTATTTCAAAGGTATTAAAGGGAAGCCTGTTTTGTTTTTTTTTAATCAATGACAATCCTGCTTATTACATTCAAAGCCTTTTAATGAAAAGTTAAACATTGTTACTGAGCTATATTCTTGACTGAGCAATGATTTAATAATAGGCCTAACTCCTCTCCCTCGCTCTAATAGCCATCTTATACCCACCATATTCCAATAGGAAGTCAGACAAAACTAATACAACATTACTCATTAATAGTACTTCTAATGACCTTGGAAAACCAATGCTGCTCTAAAGTTCCCTAACTTAAAATCTTAGACACTGAAAAGGATCTAGTTTGCCATAACCCGTGGGTAAGTTTGTGGGGGTTTATGGTGGGTTTTTTCATTATAGACTACAGTATCAAATAAGAGTGAAGGATATTATTTAGTTTAGTTTTAAGCTATAATAATAGAATGTTGAATGGGATTTTTCCTACTGTCTTGGAATTGGCTATTCTAACCAAAAAAATGACAAAAAGATAAAAGAATTCCATGCTTTTAAAGACCTCTCCAACCATTTAGGACAAAAGCCTTCCTGAGGACTTATTCAGAGGCAGGGGAACCACTTCTGCTACTTCCAGCCAACATCTCAGCCTGGGTAGGCAGAAAAATATTTCCTCACAGCCCACCAGATGCCAAATGAAGGCAGAGTTTCAATGGAATACGAAATGTGACTGCTGGCAAGGAGAAGATTCGCAGTCCTCAACCTAGGCGATACTTGCGGAGGCAGGGACCCAGAGACCAATCCAAAGCTTGCCTTCAAAGTGCAGCAAGCCCTGTGAGGGAGTCAGGGGGAGAACTTTACTTGTGTCCCTTGAAATCTGGGAGCATATCTGAACACCAAGAATTGTGCCTGTTTCTTTTCTGGAGATTGTGAAGGAGGAGCACTTGCTGGCTGAGCCAAGGAAAGTAAGACGAAAAAGACCATGCTATAGGGATGTTAAGAAGGAGGTGAAGGAAACTTCTAACCTATTCCAGGTTTCCTAATCTACCAGAGAGTGCAGAGGTGGACTTTCATGTTTGACTTGATATGAAGGAATACAGAGAGGAGAAGAGAAAGCCCAAGCCCTGGGGTACCTGACAGCTGTTTCTTAAGGGAGTTGGGATGTAGACCAAAGGTGGGCAAAAGGAAGACATGGGTGTCTGCAGTGATGTGGTGGACCAAAAAATTGCAGAAAGTTATGAGGAGACCACCACATCCTCAGTGACCCCAGAGCAGCAATAGAATCATGTACAGTCCTCTGGGGAGGGGTACTTCCTCATCTCCAATAAGCAACCCCTGCCATCTCTCATATTTCTCCTCCTCAACAAAGGACTTAGATGCTAGTAGAGGGAATTGAGAGGATTACATTTGAATCAGATTTCAGATTGGATTTTTACACTGGAGTGAAATTAGTTTGGTTTTGCTTTGTTTTTTAATAACTGAAAGTGATGAGAAAGTTGTGGAATGTGCCCAAGAAATTATCTTGGGATATTCTATAAAGCACTATTGGGAATTGTAATTGGAAAAAATAAAAACATTATTGTGTTAATATCCACCAAGTAGAGTCTACTCTATAAAACTCTTTACACTAAAATGTTGGCTCTCTAAAGCAGGCTAGGAGAGGTGGGTTTTTTTCAGGAGGAAGGGATTACACACTATTCAAACCTATTTGTGTCTTGACATTAACTCTGTTAATTTCATTATGTCATTATTTCTTAGTCTTTGTTATACAAATAAAAATATTTTCTTTGTATTTAAAAAAAGAACTAAACATTTCAACATTCAACATTCATTCATTCATTTCTTTTTCTTTTAATGTTCAATGATATCTGAACTTTTTATTGTTCAATGATATCTGAACATTTTATTGTTCAGAACTTTTTATTGAGCTTTTTATTGCCCCACCAAGGGGTGCCCGACTTCTGCTGCCTCTAACACTTGAGAACTTTGTTGTCATTGACTTCAGACACCATCCACAACCCTGTGGGTGGTGGTCTTTTGGATGGATTGTATGGAGTGGCTGTTGTCCAGGGCTTCAAGAAGATTAAAGTACTCCCCTTCTTCCAGCTGGTGGCGGTAGGTGGTGATCTCAGCCTCCAGCTTGACCTTGATGTTCAGAAGGGCTTCATACTCCTGAGCCATTCCTTCATTTCAATCTCCCTCTAGCCAATATCCTCAACTTAATTTGCCACCTCTTTCTATTTAACTGTTTGCCTGATAAAAACTGCCTTCTCATTCCTAGCACTGGGGGCTGCTGGAGAAAACACTATAACTGTTCAGGTTGGTGTCTCAACTGATTTCCAGTTTCTGTTCTCAGATCCTCCGTATCACTCAGAAATCTTTCTGGTTATTTTGCTCATTTCCCTTTCTCATTCTCTAGTGATTTCAGAGCTCTCCACTTTCCTCAAATCTCCAACTAAATCACTCCTCAGCAATGTCTGCACAGAGAAAGTAAAAGCCATTGGATGAAAATTCACTTCTCTTCCTGCCAAAAAAAGTTTCAAACCAACCTGTTTTGAACCCATTCTTCCTCCTATCCCCCACTCTCTATTTAAGTGGAATGTGGTCTTCATACTTAAAACTAATCCTCAGGATTGCACTCTAAATCCCATCCTTTCTACCTTCTGAGAGAAGTGGCTTTATCAATTGCTTCTCTTTCATATTTTTAACCTCACCCTCTAGATTGGTACCTTATCAAAAGTCTTTCCTGAATGAGTCTCCTTTTAGCTTTTGACCTATTTTTCTTTTCTCATTCACAACTAAATTGAAATAGTTGTATACCTACTCTGCTCATGGAAGAAGGTGGGGGTATGCAGAGAAAAGTGGAAGCAGAAGGAGAGTCAGAGCCTACCTGATACAGGGTGAAGGCAGCACCTCACAAAGGTCAGTCCAGCATGGAGAAGTTAAGCCAGAGCAGGGTGAGAACACATCCACGTAGCGGGACAGGTTGGTGTGGCAGCAGAGCCAGCTCAGGGGAAGAGCGCATCTACATAAAAGGGGATGGCAGTGGAAAGGAGAGATTGATTACACACAAGGGGATTGATCAAATAAGGAAATACAATAAGGCCAATGGGAGCCAGCTTTCTCAGTGTCAAAGAAGGGGTTATATATATAGAAAGGGAGATAATCAGAACAAACCCTGAAGTGCTGGGTTAGAACTGATGATATCTGTACAATCATGATTAGATAGACAGACAGATGACAGATTATATAGATAGATGATTGACAGATAGATAGATGATAGATAGATAGATAGATAGATAGATAGATAGATAGATAGATAGATAGATAGATAGACAGATAGAACGCAAATGTGTGTATACATTATCCTAGCTCTCTCCGCTGAGAAATCCTTGAAGCACTACACTCCAAAATAAAAGAGCACATCTAATGCCCAGATCTTGTATTCTCAATGTCATTCTCCACAAAAAAGATTCGGGGCTAAAATGGCTGATTCCAGGGCTAGGGCAGAGGAAGTAAAAGATGAATTTGTCAATATCCTGTGCCAGAAAGGAAGTCAAAAAGTGATGAAGACATGTCAAGAAAACACAGAGGCCACATGGAAGGGGCTTCTAGTAGCTAGATCGCAAACAATTTGAACATCATGATAAATAATGATAGTAATGAATTAAGGCCTAGAGGTTTTCTTTTAATTATTAAGGGAAAATTAATTCATCTTTTCAAGAGTTAAATTTATACAAACAAACTTAATCCACAGTACTCACTGTTGCTCATGCTTTCTGATATTTTGCAAGTGTCCAGAATGTTACATCCCATTTCCATTCATAAATCGATAAAAATTTGCTTCTCCCAAGCTAATATTGAATTATTTTCCACCTAATTATTTGGTTGTTTCTAAAATAAAAATATATTTTAGAATATATAAAAATTCATTTTAAAATAACATATATTTTTAATCACCAGGGTTTCACATACCCAATTGTTGAATTTACCAAACCTATGAATGAATACATATTTGTCTTCAGAAATGTTTTTAGTGATTTTAATTTCTGAGACAGCATCTATACATAATCTCAATATATACAGCAAATAAAATATATAATCAAGACCTTTGAAATTAACCTTTCTGTTATGTACTTGCAAAGCTGTTCAGAATACTTTGTTAAATGTCAGCTATGAAACTATATTAAAAATACAGATAAACAGTTTCATTTAACCTCCCCAAATTCTTACAGTCAGCTATTTTGCCCTCTGCTATGGCACACAATTGCATTTTTCCTAAGCAATCAAAAGCAAGCTGGAAGACTCTTTGTTCATCAGTTGTAAATAATATGCCAAATGTAATATTAAGTAGAAAAATGCTGAAAAGGGATATATGTATTTTTAATATGATTATTACTTTCCAACCACAAAACTTTTTTAACACAGGCCAGTAATTCTTATTTACTTTGACTGGGATTGGACAATAATACATCATGATGGTGCCCTTTTGGCCACCAGCATACATTTACAAAATTATGGTCTGAACTCAAATCTTGTGTTTAATTCATCAGTCTCATGTGGTTTCACGTGGTTATTTGGAAAAACTTCACACAAGATTCTACAACCTTATGATAAAAAATTGCTTAAAATAACATTCCATTATCAATTTATCCAATATCAATAAACATTTATTGAGTGTGTATTATGTGTCAAGCACTATGCTAAGTGCTGGAGATATAAAAACGATTAACACTTGAGCACTAGATAGGACATGGAGAGTGCACTTGAGAGGCTTGGAGTGTTGTGAAAGAGACAATAAACGTAAAAACTACATCAAAGATTGTTTAGGAATAGGGTTTTTCAAAGGTTCTGTGAACACAGTAAAGAAACACATAATCCCAACTAGGGGAGAAGAGAATGGTTACAGAAGCCTTCTTGTAGGAGGAACTGATAAATAAGTCTACTGACTTGCTTGCAGATCTTGCTTGCTTGCTTAAGAGCACAGGTTTCAGCTAGCACTGCCTGTTACTAGCTACATGAGATTGGTCAAGTTACTTTATCATTCTAAGTTTGTTTTCTTGTTTATAAAATGGATATACTGTAATAGCATTACCTCATAGGGCTGTTAACAGGACCAAAGAAGATAAAGAGCAAAAACAATTATGGTTAAAAAGTAATAATTATAATAAAATATGCTAGTATTCTGGGTGTTATACTGATGATCTCTTTCTCATTCACACACACACCCCATTTAGTGTACAACCTGGTGGTTTCTGGACTTCATGGCCAATTTATACATGTCCTATTACTCGTAAGAAAAACACTGCTTCACCCGGCTGGGCATGGCTCAACAGTTGAGCATTGGTCTAGAATCCAGGAGATCGGGGTTCGATTCCCGGTCAGGGCACATGCCCGGGTTGCGGGCTCCATCCCCAGTCGGGGGTGTGCAGGAGGCAGCTGATCAATGACTCATCATTGATGTTTCTCTCTCTCTCTCTCCCTCTCCTTTTCTCTCTCTGAAATCAATATATATTTTAAAAACACACACACGAAACACTGCTTCATCCCACCAACCCTGACCCAGTCCTCCCATCCTTTGTTATCAGCCAGACTTCCCAATACCCCAAAAGGCTTGACTTCCTGTCGTTACTAGGCACGCCTATGCCATGTCCATTCTTTGGATGCAAGCCTAATCATTGAGGAGGCTCTGGACTCTGACTGCCATAACTCTCCTCTCGTTTTTCTCTGTTGTCACATCCTCCAGAGGATGTATCTCTTGCCCTTCATCTTCACACTGCTCTCTGAGGGTCTTTCTTACCTTTGATTTTGTGATTTGTATGCAGTCCACTTAGCCAGCATTGTCCTCCAGTGACTGGCCACCAGGTGTCAATGGCCAGCATTTCATCTCCTTTGGAGTGAACATCACTGCAGAGACAGAAAGAAAACAATGTGATTAAAACACAAAAGTATTGAGGTTTGTGAAGATGAAAAAGGCTAGCGCTAGAAACGGAAAAATGGTATGGCCTTTTATTCCTTCCCACATTACCCTCTTTGGGATCTGACTTTATTTTACAGTCTTTCTCCTTCAACAATCTCCCATTAGCCAGCTATCAAGTGACTCTTTCTGAAAGGTTCTTCTTTCCCTCTTCATTTGCAGAAAGAACTAAGGGAGGGGGCAGGGCTCAGCTCAGTTTCTTCTTTTACATTCATTCACCTTTGCAAGGGCTTCTACCAAGTTACAACAAAATAGATTCAAATAATAGCAAAAATAGTAATAATAAATGGAAAATTAAAGTTAAAAGACTTCTCCCTTTTCAAGTAGCCCACTGGTAGAAATAAAGCATTTCTTATTTCTAAGAGTGTATGTAAAATATATGATTTGGACAATAGAATTATTATGTAAAATGCTATCTACTGCAGCTTCCAAATTTTGTTTTTAACCCACACCCCATAAAACTATTTTGGTGCCTGGGCTGGTGTGGTTCAGTTGGTTAGAGCATCATCTGTGCACAGAAGGGCTACGGGTACAATTCTAGGTCAGGGCACATATCCAGGTTGCCATGGTTGGAGTTTCCTACGGGAGGCAACTGATGATGTTTCTTTCTCACATTGATGATTTTCTCTCTCTCTCTCTCTAGAATCAATGAAAAACATACCCTCAGGTGCGGATTATAAAAACTATTTTGGCTTTACCAAAGCATTACTCTCTTTTTTTTTTTTAATTGATCTCAGAGAGAGGAAGGATGAGAGAGAGAGCAACATCAATGATGAGAGAGTTGTCATTGATTGGCTGCCTCCTGCACCACCATGACTGGGGAATCTGGCCCACAACCGGGGCATGTGTCCTGACTGGGAATAGAACCAAGATCTCCTGGATTCTAGGTCTATGCTCAACTGCAGAGCCACGCCCAGCCAGGCTACTCCCACTTTCTATAGACCAAGACAGATTAGGTTATTTTAATTTCTAAATTATTCATGATTTAATTCTGTTGCTTACTTTGGCTATTTTGCTCTGTGTGTGTGTACCTCGGTGCCCATAAAACCCTTCCTATGTTTCAAAGTCCAAAATATTAAAGCATTTAATTTCTTTCTATCAGATTTTCTGCAACAAAATAATTTGAAATTCATACATAAGTACAAAAGTGTTATATCAATTTGGCACAGAAATTTTCAGTTGCTTCATGATTCCACTAAAATGTGTTGATTTAAGTAGTTTATACATGAACTAAAGAAATGTTCGTGCTAAACAACAACTATAAAACCAATTGCTGATTATCCAAATGTGACTTTTCTAGAGCACAGATTAAATGTGTGAGTTTAAGGTTTAGCTATTCCCTAACCTGTCTCCTGACCCAGGAACAAAAGTTCATTTGAAACACTTAAAATTCTGGAGGCAGTGAGTCCTCAGCAAACTTTTAAAAAACTTAAATTGTCCCTCTTCCTTACAGCTTTTCCCCAACAAACACTTCTTTCATCATAACTTCTTCAATGTGGTAGCAAGTAAATTCCCCAACAACAGGAAAGACAGTAACATGAAAACTGAGCTGATCACAGATGGGGAGAAATAATAATTCTCTCTTACAATTTTTAACTTATGATAACTTAAGGATAATAATTAATAACAGTAAATAAAACTAACCTTAAGGAGAAGATCCTTGAAAAGTGCTTCCATTAAATGGTATTGAGAAGCTAGTGGCAGTAAATAACAAGTCTGGGGTTTTTTAAATCGTTTATAATAATTTTCTGTTCATCAACAGAGAAAATATAGATGAGTGGAAGGACAACATTCTCCAAGTAAAATATCAAATACAAAATTTGTTAGCCAAATATGAACTTGATATTAAAAAACTGAGAACTGGTTCCTTTCAATTATACTTTGCCACTAAAACTCAATATTCACCAAGAAAATATTAGCTATTATAATTAGAATGCTTTTACCCTTGTTACATAAAGTTGTGCTTGGTCAAAAGTCATAAAATAGTTCAGAAAAGAAATTTAGCATTTCTGATCCTTTTTGTAGGCCCAGTGCCACTTGAGCCTGAATGAATAAATGTCCCATACACCTATTACCAATTCATTTAAGTTAGCAGGCCCTAAATGTTACAAATCTGTTCAAGAGACTATCCCCTGGAGGCACTAAATAAATAGCCAAAGAATTCTCCATGATAAAAAGCATTATCATAGCCTAAGTGGCAATGCTCTTCTTTCTTAGTTATACATCTATTCTAGATGGAAATGTATCAAAATGTTGACAATGGTATATCTCTGGGTGGAGGGTAGAACTTTAGATTATTTTATCTCTATCAGATTCTCTGTATAAAATATATATAAATACATATTTTTTAATCCTCACCTGAGAATATGTTTTTATTGATTTTTAAATGGAGAGGAAGGGGGGAAGAGAGAGAAACATTGATTGGCTGCCTCCTGTACATGCCTTTACCAGGGACGGAACCTATAACCCAGGTATGTGCCCTGACTGGGAATTGAACCCACAAACTTTTGGTGCACAGGACGATGCTCCAACCAACTGAGCCACCAGGCCAAGGCATTTTAAATCAAGAGGTCAAAAATAAAAGATTAAATGATAGTCACATGACACATATCACAGTATTTTTTAATGAGGAAGAACAGAAACCAAATTTGGTACTGAATTTTCTCATAAAATCCATAAAACATTTAAATGTCTATTAAGAATTTATGAAGACTGCAACAAACAAATCATATAATTAACTTTGAAATATAAAAAACAAGTCTTACTCATTTTGCTAATACTATAGCAAAACTTACCTCTCCAGCTTCCACACAGAAGTCAAATTTGTTGCATTCTGAAGATGTTAAATAGTTAAGTCAGAGTTACAGAATCCTGAAATACAGAATTAAGACTTAAAAAACAAACAAACCAAAAAACCTCCCTTACTTCTATAGCACTCAAGCCTGTTGTGTGTTAGTTAAAATGAGAATTAAGCATGGATTTCATGTTTTTCTTTAAGAAACAGGTTCTGACTGTTGGTATGGTTTTTCTTACAATCATACACCAAAACTTTCAGTTGAAATGACTTCCTTTTTTTATATAACAACTGGGTATTTTGATATAATAGGTGAAAAACTCCAGACTTGGCAGTGGAATAGCCACTGAATTAAAAAATCCAAGAATCAAATACCGTAAAAAGAGATTTCTATTTAAGCTCCGAAAAAGCTGTAGAAAGGGGAGGAGTAGTTATTCTGTCCCGTTGGAATTTTATTAAGTTATGCCAACTGAATCTGGTGAAGGGGTTAGAAGAAGAGAAAGGAGATGACACAGCAGTGGGATGTTGTTCTGGGCAGAGAAAGCAGCATGTAACTGCACGTTGGCAACAGTGAGAAGAGCTAACAAAGGGGACAGATTACTTGACAGGAGTACAGCAAGTTAGCAGATGAGTAGGAGGAGGTGGCATATGAGACGTAGGCTGGGGTGCAGTAGGAGAGATCCTTGGTGGTAAAGGTGAATAGCTTAAATTTAATGCAAAATACAATAAGGGCCGAGTGAAGCAAGTCCGGGAGCCCAAGATAACAGCTACAGAGCAGCATTTGGAGCTGTCTAAAGGATAGACAAGACAAGGAGCCTTTAAGGGGGAGGTTATAAAAGTCACAAGAGAAAACACTCAAAATTTAGTCTTTTTTTTTTCTCTTAGAAATAAAAATATAAACAAGGATTTAGAGGCACCAGAGTTGTTTGTTTGTTGTTTGCTTGTTTCTGGTGTTTTCATAATTTGAATAAATAAGAGGAAAACAAAATGAAGGAACATCAAGTTCAGGCACTTCAGAAAGCTGAGCCTTATAATCAAATCCAAAGAGAAGAAAGGTACAAATTAGGGTAAGTAGGATCTTCAGTAAAAATGATAGGGGATAAAACTTTCTTGGCAACTTGTCAGTACTAAAGTGTTGAGGGACGACACAGTAAAAAGACAGTAAAGAGAAACAGCAAAATAAGTAAAATACAATGATTTGTTATATCCTAAAAGCTTCAAACAGAAAGAATAATGTAAGATAGTGACAGGAATTAATCACGTAATGTGCTAAAATAATTTTCCAAACTACAAGTAAATCTCTAAGGATTCTTTGTGTTGAAATACAATTCTAGTTTTTTTCAACAGCTGATTTTTTTTTTTTTTTTACAATTAAGTTATATTTCAACTGGAGAAATTTTACTAAAAATTCTTAAGAATTCAGCCATTGTTCACTAAAACTTAATAATTTAAAGCAAATTTAGTAATGAAGACCTCATTGTACACTACACTTTTAAATTCGTTCCTAGCCCAATGTTATTTGAATGCTTAATAAATATTATTTGCCCTTAAGGCTGAGAAGCTGACATTTTAGCAAATTCACCACTTTTACCACTAGGTGGCGAAAAAGCCCAAGTAGTATCTGTTACCAAAGCTAATACTAGATTCCAAGTACTTTAACTAGACTTTCCACCAGGTGTCAACCAAGAGAGAGAAAAAATAGACTGAAATTTTCTCCACTCAAATACACAAATTCATAGTTTTATGCATAACCATCTAAACTCTCAAAAATAAATGGCCTGCCCATGAACTATCCAAATATTTTGCATATTTATATCCTCATATAATGCTGAGTCCACGATATTGCTTTGTCAACTAAAATCCAACTAAATAAAATCTCATTTCCTCCAAAAAATGAGTTTAGTTTACTGTGACACATAGGTTCAACCTATCCAAATATATGGCACAAAAGAATCTAAAATGTTTTAGACGTGGACAGCCAAAACTCTTCAAAGTATACTTGGATATATAAATCCAGATTGATATTTTTTCTTTCTATATTTCTCTAATAAGCAGATCTGTTGATTGCAAAAGTCTAGATAAGTTTGTGCTGTTACGCTTCAAATCTCAGTGTGATTTTATGAAAGCATTGCCATTTGTTACCAAAGCTTTCACAATAAAGAGACACAAGTACCTGCCTTTAAGATGTATTAGAATTATTTTGAACAATCCAAGATTGAAAATTAAAATTAGAGCTTTACAGAATTAAGCCCTGTTTATAAACCAAATCATGCTTTTTAAAAACCATGTTATGTGCTTCACTAATTTCTAACAAAGATTTTCCAATCTTCTTGTAAACACCACGTCAGCTAAAACACTATGTCATGCTGCCTCTTATAAGGTGGTACTTTTTTAGGCCGAACTCTATTCTTAATCCTCTGGGCACAGGAGTTATAATAATGTCATACCCTGCAGATCTAGCTGTAGGTGGTATCTTAAAAAGGACTTTTTCTTCCTTCGAGGAAGTGGTCAAGCCTGTCTTCCCCGTAGTGTCATCATGCAAACTTGGTTGTTTTTCGTTGCTATCTAGTTAACAGATGGAAGAGAAAGCAGTCGAGGAGAAAGCAAAACCTACTGATTAAATTATGCTTGCTTGTCTTCCTTGCTCTTTATAGTATTCTCTTTTAAGGTTCCTTTGGCCTCAAATGAGTTCATTTCCACCCTGCCTGCAAAGGCCTGTTTTGTATTGGGTTTTTGTTTGGGGGTTGTTATTTTTTCAAAAAAATATCCAAGCCAAGAATGCTCTTGTCGGAGAACATTATTTCTTGTCTGGTTTTATTACCTTTTCTTTTGAAATTCGTTAGATTAAGCTCAGCAACCAGCCGCTTGCCCAACCGGTTATTCCCCTGCCCCCATGCCTCCTCGCACATCACTTTTTCCTCCTCCCGGCCAGGCAGCGGTCAAGACCCCGCCGTGCCCGTCAAGCACGCCTCGGGCCGGTCACGCAGCAGCTTAGCCTTACTCGGCTTTGCAAGCAGCGCCCCATCCAACCCTTGTCCCCCAGTGCCCCCCTCTGCCATTATCTTTAAATAGAGCGTGCTCGTGAGGGGCTCCGGACTGCTCGTCGAGGGTTTACGGTAGCCTGCCTACCAATAGGAGCCCACAATGAAGAGAAGTCAGGTTCAGCCTCCCGGCAGCCCCAGTGTCTTCTTCCCCAAGCTTTGCACCTACTGTACCCGCGAGCGAGGGAGCGAGCCCGGCGCGGGGGGGCGCGCAGGGAGGGCCGGCGGCTTCCCGGCGTGCGCATGCGCACCGGGGTTGTTTTTCACAAAGCTGCTCTTTAAGTGAGCTGGCAGCGCTCAGCCGCCCGTCTTTGTAAGGAGACCACTGAGGCCGGCAGGAGCGCGGAGCGCGAGCTTCTCTGCTGCCCTGACTTTTTAAGAAATCTCAATGAACTATTTGTAAGGAGTCACTGATCTTGCCTGTAAGCTTTTTCCACGGCAAAGACATCGATCGGTGTTACGTGAAGATCACATTTTATATGTGATCTTGACTTTTTTGTCTTACATTATATTTTTATAGATTTTGTTATAAACATGGTGCTGGGAAAGGTGAAGAGTTTGACGATAAGCTTTGACTGTCTTAATGACAGCAATGTCCCTGTGTATTCTAGTGGGGATACAGTCTCAGGAAGGGTAAATTTAGAAGTTACTGGGGAAATCAGAGTAAAATCTCTTAAAATTCATGCAAGAGGACATGCGAAAGTACGCTGGACCGAATCTAGAAACGCCGGCTCCAATACTGCCTATACCCAGAATTACACTGAAGAAGTAGAATATTTCAACCATAAAGACATCTTAATTGGACACGAAAGAGGTAAGTTTTTATATTATTCAGAAATCATTAATCCTGTTTTCTTTGGGAATGAACCTTGTAATTTTTCTGAATTAATATAATTCTACTCCTAGCATAACACGTAGCAGTTTGATAAAAGATGAGCAAAGTTGGAAGATCCGGATTCTCCTTGACATTCATCGTGTGTTAAGTCGTAGCGCATGCAGGCATCTGCAAAGTGACTGCAAACTGCACTTACTCAACTACCTCCATACCCGGCTTGGTCTGTGGCATACGCACTTGCCATCCGTTTGCACCTTACTTAAATTCTGCTTAAACTCGATTCACTAATTTCACTAATATGTTTTCAACTGAATTGCCAAAAGCTGCAGTCCAATGTTAGATTTTTTTTCCCTTGTGCTCTGCAACCTTAGATCTTAAAAAATAAGTTTCAATTAAGAAATGTAATAACATCTTTAAGTGGGTTAATAGGGGTATATCATTTTTAATATTGACACGCAAAAGACTTTAAAGGATTGATCATTGTTCTTTGATAAAGGGTTTCTGTGGCTTATTTTGACATATGGTATCAACACCCCACGTGTTTATCCCCTATTCTTTCCAGTTTCTTTAGAAATATATGTCAATCATTCTCTATTTTAAAGGGCATTATCTATCATTGTGATAGGTTTCAAATCAGTTTTAGAACCCATTTAGGGTAATTTACCTTTCCGAGCATCATGCTTAACTTTCAAGCGTGCATTCAATGAAACCCATGCCAGTCAAATGAAATTGAAAAGTATTCAGCACATTGGATTTGATTTTTGGTTGGAAAAGTGAGATGAAGGGTTGTCAAACGTTGAAGTGGTCCAGAGATTTCCAATCTATTGTTTAAATCGTTACATTGTGGAAATATAGAAGACTCTAAGCTTGTTTTTCTAAGTTTCCACCCTTTGTTAGAAGCGGTTCAATCCTGTTTCGGACCAGTTCTGGGGGGTGGTGAGGAGGGGCGCTTGTTCAGCTCTCAGCAGATTGGTTGCACGCGTCAGGTGGTGGCGATGACTTAATTCTTAGACCAAGAAGAATATAGTGTTAAAACTGGTTATGTAATTTTGCACTTCTCCTTTTTAATGCAATATTTATTTCAAATGTGGACTATTTTCAAAAAGTAGAACACATTTTTACCTTCATTTTTAATATTAAAATATGCACATGCCTGAGGGAAGTGCTAATTGAACTAAAGCAAGTGTAGAAATGAAGGATGCTTTCAGTTACAGCAATGCACTATTTTTTAAAATATTAAGATGAGGTTAATTCTTTAGTTAGGTTTTCAGTTACACATAGGTAATTTGCATCCTGACATAATTTCTAGTTAATCTCCCCAAGCAGTTACGCTGATAAGAAGCGCTAATGCCTAATGACAGTCATTGTATTTGTTGAAAAGCAGACACACGAGTTTGTTTGGACCTTTCCGGATATTGCAGCTTTTTATAAAATGGAGAGAAGAAACAAAGGTTTTTTAATAGACTTTAGACTGTAGAATAACGACTTATGGGAACAAACACAGTTTTATTAGCTGCTCTATGGTTTCCTGGTAGAATAAACTATGTGCCTTGTAACCCCACGAAACACCCCTCAATCCCTGCGAAGCGTGGACGAGCGCTTAGCCTGGAATAGTTTCAATGACTTGAAACTGGGACCTCTCAAACTAGCCTGGTAATTGAGACCCCGCCCCGGGCGGCCCGCGATAGGCGGAGCCGCGTTTGTTAGCCTGTTGCTAAGGCGATGCCAGGCTCTGATTGGATTGGGCGCGGGCGGGTGGGGAGAGTGGGTCGTGCCGGTTGGGGCGAGGCTTGGAACCGGTGTGCGCCGGTAGAGGCTCCTCCGGAGCGGTCGCCTCCGCCCCTACCGCGTCCCTTCCCGGGGCTTCCGGAGGTGCCCGTGTCACATCACGCTCTGTCGCCCCACCGTGGCCTGTTCGGGACCCCGAAATAAATTCTTTCAGATGTCAGAAGTGTAGATGAGAGAAGCTCCTGCTGGCTTTACAGGTGCCGAATGGCCCTGGGCGCAACTTCAGCGGACAGTGCTATTCAGAGGGTTCGCAGGCCCCCATTTTCCTATTTTTACGAGTGGAAGATGTCAGGTGTCTTCTGTGAAAGTTTCTCTCTTAGCTAAAACAAAGGGTGTCCCCCGACCTGTGTAGGCATCTGGCCGGCTACCTTGACTGGACCTGAGGGAGAGCGCAAGGCAGGGCAGAAGGGAAGGAAAAGGGATGGTAACATCAAAAGCTGGGTGGGGGCCTCGGCCAGTATTCCCTCCCCCCACCCATTGTTTCCTGTCCC